AGACTCGATGGCAGCTAACAACACTTAGATATTAAAGTAGAGCTCAACATGGACGGAAGAGGTGGGGTAGGGAGCGCTGCTCTTCCGTGGCAGGTCTGGGGAAGGGGCCACGAAGGTAGCAAGAAGAAGCCCTTGAAACACCCTAAGAAGCAGACCAAGGAAACGGATGAGGAAGATGAGGCTTTCAGCAGAAACAGAAAGAAGCACAAAAGAAACTCGAGGAGCTAAACGCGAAGGTGGACTGAAGAACTCTGGCAAAACGTCCACCGTTCTTGGTGACTGAGGCCTTGATTCCGTTCCTGTGTCAACATCTGGATTCCCTGCTAGAACATCTGTTGCCACATGTAGTTCCGTGAAGTGTTGTCTTGGACCCTGCTGTACATTTAAGAATAAACTTGTGAAAAAGAAGAAACATCATACAATGTTTAGTTCTTCTCACTCAGCCAATCCTGTCTTCGCTGTGAAATCAGAGGGAACCCAGTCCAGCACCCTGCCAGAGCTTTGTGATGTCCAGAATTCTGTACCTTCGGGAATTAAAGCAACTCATTTGAAGAAAAAAAAGAGGAAATGATCAAAATGTCTTGCTATCTTAACTAATAATTAAAAATAACCCAAACTATATTCACTGTAGACTGTTTCCCAGCTTAACATTTTCGTTACAGATTTTATCCAAAAGCTTCACATACATTTTTTACATTGGCGTCTTTGGCAACCCTCGTGCAGTTTTGGAGGGTTTATAAGTATTTTTCCTCATCTCTAAGTTTCTGAGAACACAGCGTTAGTTTAATCACTTGATGCTGTCACCAAAATCTTTATCCCAAGCTCCAGCAGACAGTTATAAAACATTAAGTTCTTTATGCTTAAAATACACTTTGGACTTGTATAATTGTGATGTATACTCTATAGCTATCTACTATACTGCTTTTAAAAGAGATCTTTAAAAGGTTTTTGTAACTATATCAAACACTTAGGTACTTTTTACAAAATCTATGGTATCTTTTTTTTTTACTCATTCTGGATTAATTTCACTTCCAATTAATATATATTTAACAAATAATACACTGTTGTCCAAAATAAACTGAGGGAACCTCCCATAAATAAAATACTAAGTCATTGCTACGAAGTCTAGTCTGACTCAGTCCACCCTGTAGGACAGAGAACTTCCTCATGGGGTTTTCAGGGCTATAAATCATTCTGAAACAGACTTTCACATCTTTTAAACCGTCAATCCTGATTTTTTGGTTAGCAGTCTGACTCATAACCTGCCACACCACTTAAACCATAAAGTCAAACTCACTGCCATCGAGTCATCTGATTCAGAGTGACGCTGTAAATAGATTAGAAATATCCCGGTGGGTTTCTGAGATTAAATCTTTACAGGAGTAGGAAGCCTCCCATTGTCCCCCAAGAATGGCTGCTGGTTTCACACTGTTAACCTGCAGGTAGCAGCCCGGCCTGTGACCCACGAAACCCACAGTGCACCAGGGCTCCTTGAAATACTGTTGTGGTTAGGTGCCATCGAGTTGGTGACTGCATAGCGATACTTACCCAAGACTCATAAATAAGGCAACTTCTTTTTCCTTTCTGCATTTTCTCTCCACCCCGCCCCTATGCCCATTTAGCACAGATTATTCAGATCAGGGCAAATCTCCATTGATTTTTTAAAATGTAATATATATATATATTTATACAGACACACACACACTCACCGTGGTGTATTTAGCCAGGCTAAATTCGTACCACAAATTTATGGTACGAATTTGTTGCTTATCTTTGCCATACCCAATAGTAAATACTCTTGGATTTCCTTTAACACTTGTGTGTCACCTTTGGAACAAAGGATACATGCATTTTAAGTTTGTTAAACATTACCTAGCTACCCTGGTAAAGTCGTGGGTTATGGTTTGGGTTGCTAACTGCAAGGTCGGTGCTTTGAGCCCAGTAGCCGCTCTGTGGGGGTGAGCTGGAGCTTTCTGCTCCCTTCAAATGCATAACAGTAGAGACCCAAATGGCAGTTCTCCTTTGCCCTATATGGTTGCTCTGAGTTGGAATCAATTCAATGGCAGTGGTTTGGTTTGGGAGCCTTCCAAAGGGGTGATCATCATTTTTTTGTTTGTTTGTTTTTGTTTTTTGGGGGTTTTCTTTTTTTTTCTTAAATCATTTTATTAGGGGCTCATACAACTCTTATCACAATCCATACTTACATCAATCATGTAAAGCGTATTTGTACATTCATTGCCCTCGTCATTCTCAAAACATTTCCTCTCCACTTAAGCTCCCGGCATTAGGCCCTCATTTTCCCCCTCCCTCCCCGCTCCCCCCTCCCTCATGAGCCCTTGATAATTTATAAATTATTATTTTGTCATATCT